TAATTTATTCCAAACATTTCTACCTTTTAATTGTATGTATCAGTTTTCTTTGTTAACTAATACCCCATTGACATTTTGATACTGTTTAATTATTGTTAACAAACATATCGCCACTTGTTTGGTAAACTGTTGTGTATTGTAATAAAAACGCAATGGATATATATTAGAGTAGAGCCAGAGATGAGGATCTAATTGAAAAGTAAATATTTCTTCGCTCAATCTTTCTGTTTTCTCAATGACAAATTATTTTCGGAGGCATTAATAATAACTCTTTGTTAGTTAAATCTGAATAATGTAGAAGTATCTAGCCATTATCTCACTAATTCAACCAGTAAAAGTTAAGGAAATGAGATGAGTATACCTTATCGAGTCAGTGTTTAAAGGCAGCTCAAAGTAAAATACAATTATCCACTGATATAAGTATAAAACTTGGGCACTGTGGTAGAGTATATCTCCAATATGGATAAGATTTTATTTTGATAAGTCACACAGTGTTACACAGTAATATTAACTGATGACGTTTCGAGCACAAATTATTGCTCATAATCATATCAAGCTACTCACACAACGTTTTCCTTCATTTATATACACATTTTAGTGTTAACGGTTAGCCTCCTCCACCCACCCCTCCTTGTTTACTTTCTATCAGTTTCAAGTGAATCTTTCAAGGTTTATTTTATAGAGATTTGATCTATTTCAATGTTGATCCCGAGTTGACATCAGTTAGACAGCCGCTGAAAAAACTAGAAAGTACTGGATAGCTGATATGCCCTACTTCGGGATTCCTCAGCACTACTCACCCACAGGGACTCGAACTCAGGAATTTTGTGTTACGTAGTCACTCCGTTGACCACTCAGTCACCGAGAACGGGAATTCAATAGCCAATAAATCCTACCTTCAACCAGTTGATAACCAATATCAAAATTGAAATGTGGTCATTTACTCGTGTAGCTTAGATAATAGATAACATTTCTCAGTTCAGTTCATCTTCCAAAAAACAAACAAAAGCAAATTTCTCTTGACGATAATAAAGTGATTTTTTTTTAGCTCTTCATTCAATGCTTCAAAATACGTATTTCAAAAGTACGCAATTCCATTGAACATTGAATTGTACAACGCATAACAGTATGTGTGTTTATCAATTCACCTGCTCGTGTGGAGCTAGGTATCTCAGTCGTTCGACTCGAGTTGTGTCCAAGAAGGTGCAAGAACACAATCCCGCATGGTCACGAAGAGGTGGAAGTGGAGCAACAAGAAGAGTGATCATTGAACACCTGGTCGATAATGATCACTTTATCTCTCTAGCCTCCGCCTTCAAAGTCATCTACAACGCAAAAAGTAATTTACCGAAATCACTACGTACCCAACTCATCTGTATTGCCCAAGCTTTGGCTATAGAAACAGAAAAGCCAGATCTCTGTGTACAGAAAAAGTTCGTTCAACCCCTCCAACTTTCATGGTCTTAATCCCTCTATGCTAAAGTATGGTAATCCCTAATCATAGTTTGGCTCTACGAATTTTTTTTTCAATTTTTCGTTATGTTTATTCAGTTTGCATACTCTTCCTTTATTACGTCAATTGTTACTATTACTATTCTCACTTTGAACTGTCCCAGGTATTATTTCACTTGTTCCACTTGTCATTCTTAATCAATTCCTTTTTACAACATTAAATTCTATACTATTGGATTTCACACAATATTACGTAACATTTTTATTTTATTCTATTTGTCTACTAATCCTTTAATTGCACACCCTTTCCAAGCTCTATTATTATTATAATTGTTCCCTTGGGTTCCTAGTGGAACATAGGGCTTCAACTGCACGCCTCCACTTGCTTCTACCTTCTGCCGTACTTTTCACTTGCATCCATGTTAGTCCATACTGTTTCAGTTCCTCATCACACGACCTCTTCCATGTCACCTTTGGATGTCCCACTACTCGACGCTTCCCTTTCGGGTTCCACTCGAGCACTGGCCTGACGCGCGATGTCACCCAGCGCGATGCCTCCTCAGTGAGTGTCCAATCCATCTCCACTTTCTCCTGCATATTTGTTGGGCGATTGGTTCTTGTTTTGTTTGTTCCCATAGTTTCTTGTTGGTGATTGTTTCCGGCCATCTGATCTTCAGTATAGAGCCAGCGAAGACAGTTGTTGATAAAGGTCTGCAACAGGCTGTTGGAAATATTCTTTGTGACACACTGGCCAACGTTCTGATCCGTATAGAAGAACTAACCGACTTGACGTTTGTATTGAAGATCTGTATTTTGTTGTTGATGCTGAGTGACGAAGATTTGCAGATTGGTTTCAGGTTGATGAATGTAATTCTCGCCTTCTCAACTCTCGATTTGACATCCTCGTCCGTTCCTCCTGTAGTTGAGAAAATGCTCCCTAAATAAGTGAATGAAGTAACCTCTTTCAAATCCCTCCCGTTGATGGTGATTGGCACTGGATGTTGCTGCTGTTGTTGGTTGGTTATTTTCATAACCTCCATCTTGTCTATGTTCACCTGGAGTCCTGTCTTTGCTGCTTCTTCGACCAATTTGTCGGTATTCGCTTGTAAGTCTTCGATTTTGTGTGACATCAAACATAAGTCATCTGCGAAATCCAGGTGTTCTAGGTTCTTCACGTCGGTCCAGGATATCCCTGTCTTCTCGTTTCCCACTGTCTGACGCATAATCCAGTCGACCACAATCAGGAATATCATTGGTGATAATAAGCACCCTTGTATGACTCCTGTGTTTACTGCAAACGCTTCGCTGAGTTTTCCGTTGTGGATCACTTGACATGTGCCGTTGTCGTACAGCTGTTGAATAAGGTTGATGAATATTTGGAGTACGTTCCAAGCTCTATCCATCCTATGAATTATTTTATATATGGCATTCATTGTTTTGCTACTTGACATTTACCTATGATTATCATCACAAACATTTCAGTTTTATTATTATTATTATTAATTGCATTTCATACCATTTATTTATTCATATATTTTATGCATTCACACCTATGATGCAATTCCCTCATCAGATATAACTTCTTAAAAACCATATGAACACGATTGTACAGCTTGACGATAAATTCGTTGAAAAGAGTCTCTTTGCTGAATCACTTGTTTTGATTTTCTATAACACTATGTGACAAAACATATGGTGAAACAAAATAACAAGTCTTATACAGTTTTCTGTCAATTTTATAATTTCTCTTGAAATAAGAATCTGGTGAGAGTAGCACATGACAAAATGCGGATAGAATTACATGAATTTATGGATCTTTATGCACATACGAGTGTTAATATTTCTTTCTAATCTATATGTCATTTTGAAGTAAGTACACGCAGAAAACAACAACTAGAAAAAATGGAAGAAAAACAATGGTGTGTTCTTATCATGTCGTCGTACTGTATAATATCTCATTGGTTATTACTGCAGTAGTAAATTGTATTTAACAAGTAATGCTAAATCTAAGCTTGACTGAATTAATTGTTGAGAGAGCACCATTAAAATTGATATTGTCTGCGTTAAACAAAATGCATTCAGCCAATTCATGAGAAGAAAAAAGGATAACAAAAGTCAAGAAGTAGGATACCTTTTGAGAAGACAAATAAGGTGAAAACTTAGTCAATTACTGGTCACTTTTCCAAGAAACATATGTCAAAATGTTTCTATAGAATAGTGCATAGTTATTTAGAATTTTAATCACGGACTGATGTCAGTTAGAGAACAACTGGTGTTTATTTTCCTAACTCTCGATTCTATGGAAGTATGCGCCAGCCTGGGTTCAAACTCAGGAACTTCAGTTGTTGAGACCCAATCCAATGACCTATAAATTTTGTGTTAATTTACAATGTACAGCGCTATCACTAGCCAATGTCCTCAGTGAGTGTATTTGTCCTCATGTTCATTCTGTAGCCAGTAACTGGCAAGCGTCAGACTAATTTTTTAAGAGTTAGCTTATCCAAACAGACATCTCAAGCAAACTACAGACCTTCATCAACAGCTGTCTTCACTCAATACTCAAGATCAGATGGCCAGAAAAGACCAGCAACAAGGGTTTCTGGGAGCGAACCAACCAGTAACCAATTGTGCAATAAATATGCGGGAAGAAATGGAGGTGGATTGGTTATACTCTGAGGAAACCATCAAGTGAGTGACATCACACCACAGGCCCTCGAGTTGATCGTTAGTGCGAGGGTGACATGGAGGAGGTGATGTCAAGAGGAGATGAAAGCATGTGGGCAGATGTGAAACCAGGTGAAAACGTTGGCAGAGAACCGAGTGCAATGGAGACGTTCGGCTGAAGCCCTATGTTCCTCTAGGAACTAAAGAAAACAATAATAATAATAATATCCAAACAGATGTCCAGCATTCGCATATTTTTCAATGGTTCCTTAACTGATATCAATTAGTGATCAGACTTGAAACTAATCAAATGCAGGTGAACTCCAAGCTATTGATCCTGGCCACTTCAGTGTGCATTGATAAATGTAACTGCTCATGTGGAGAGAGAGAGATTTACAAAGGTGGAAAGACTCGGGAAGCCCATCATCGCTTTCTTGAGGAATGTTTAAAGTGGTTAGGTAAAGAAGTCATTAAGTCAATCAAGAGTTCAATATTGGCACAATTTCTGAATGGATACGGAGTTTAAGACTGATAAGAAGATTCACCCTGTAAAATTCTATGTAAGATGCCAGCTCAATTCCCTAAGTTTGCAAGTTTTCGATTGCTAAGTGTAGCTAAGGCAGCTGCTATGATAACTTTCAACTCAGTCTCTGTGTTCACATACGGTTTGTCTAATCAATCTCCCTCCGATGGCCTTCAACGTTAACTTAGAAGAGTTATCTCTCCCAGTGAAACCGGATAACTGTAAAAATTATTTCTACTACTGACTTCATAAACTATACCGTGTTTTGATTCCTTATGTTAATCTTAGTTTTATAATTCACTATTATTCAACAAACATTCTCCTTGATACTACTGCTACTACTTCTTCTACTACTACTGTGGTGAGAGCTGTCTACTAGCCAAATTGGTAGATAGTAATTTACGTCAATATTTACGTTCCCAAGATTTGTCGTGAGAAACAACCAATCGGAAGACTGTGTTTGTTTGTTTACATATCCATAGTAATGTACATGAAAACATATATAAATATGCGTTGATTTCCTTAATAAATGATCTGTTGCCTGACTCTTGCCTTCTGTCGTTACACTACTACTACTACTACTACTACTACTACTACTACTACTACTACTACTACTACTACTACTACTACTACTACTACTACTACTACTACTACTACTACTACTACTACTACTACTACTACTACTACTACTACTACTACTACTACTACTACTACTACTACTACTACTACTACTACTACTACTACTACTACTACTACTACTACTACTACTACTACTACTACTACTACTACTACTACTACTACTACTACTACTACTACTACTACTACTACTACTACTACTACTACTACTACTACTACTACTACTACTACTACTACTACTACTACTACTACTACTACTACTACTACTACTACTACTACTACTACTACTACTACTACTACTACTACTACTACTACTACTACTACTACTACTACTACTACTACTACTACTACTACTACTACTACTACTACTACTACTACTACTACTACTACTACTACTACTACTACTACTACTACTACTACTACTACTACTACTACTACTACTACTACTACTCTCACGCCCACAATAATGCGTGTTATTTTTAGTAATATCTGAAACAAAGCCGGGACGTGTGACCAAAGCAACTGTTGTAATTTTACTATTCATACATGTAGGCGTGGCAATCACATGAATGATAGTTTTATTGTGTAGTTATTCAGTATTTTGTATCCACAATGAATTCCAGTGATGTAAATAGTTGTGCTCAGTCACATGTATTGTAAGTGTTTTGGTAGGAGGAGATATGGGGGGGGGAGGCAGTCACATTTAAGAATTTTAATTCTGTCTCATCAATCTTTCATACTGGACATTATTTTGAACATTGTATGTATGTTAAAATTGTTGTGTACATATACCTAGTAAAGTTTCTAGTCGTCTTTGCGCAGCTGATAAGAAGACGACGAAATGAATGATAATGGTATCTTATCATTATTCACAAACCGTCGTTTTTGCTTCATTTTAAAGAGGAATAAGTGTGTGATAATTAGAAGCTCTGAGCAGAATCAGTCCGTGTACACCGCTTATAATCTGAGTCCTGAAAAAAATATTAACGGTGTTACATCATTAGATTGATGAAGGCAATCAGCAGTAAGCCTTCGACCTAGGTATCGTGCTTGCTAGCAGTCATCAGTAAGGAGTATCTGCAGCCTTGAAGGAACTCATGTCCCTCCTAATATTCGAACCCACGTCACCCACTGAGTGCTTCAGACAGATTCATTACCCCTGAGCTATTCCAGCTTGCGACTGACATCCTGTAGGACTTTGTTGGATATTTTTGATTGGACACCAGTCAGCAACTAGTGTAACGTGTGTGTAGTCCTTTCTTTGGTGCAGACTAAATTCTATCAACCAAGTTTGGAATGTGGCCACCATGCTAGACGGCTGGCCATGAAGGTACACTGCGAACTGTTGGTATTAGATGGTTGGAAGAAAGCTAGTAAAATAGCGTGATAGATAGCCTATGAGTAGTTGGATAGAAATCACGTTAAACAGTAGTGTTTTTCTCCTGCCGTATCGAAGTAATCAGAAAAGACATGAGTTCCTTCGAGGCTGCATGTACGTCTTGCTGATTAGTGCCAGCCAGCACGAAACATAGGTCCAGGAAGAGCTTCCTTCAGATAAATATGTGCTGATTTCTCACCTAGAACTGTGTACATTCCAAAATAGCCAGTTTGAATCAGTCAAGGAAATTCACATACAATTAGAAACCATTTTCAACAGCATGTGTTAATTTTGCTTTACTATAAAGAAGACAGTAGGAATTTAGATTATATAATGTTTTTCTTTACTTATATTTTACTTTAATATTCTACAAACATAGAGAAGACGGAGGTGATGAAGATAACCAACCAACAGCAACAACAACAATCAACACCAATCACCATCAACGGGAGAGATTTAACAGAGATTACTTCCTGCCATCAATTATCCAGCCAGGAAGCATGGATGAAGGTGTGAAAGCCAGCCAGCCAGAATCGGAAAGGCGAGATACGCACACCTTCATCAACCTGAAATCAATTCGGAAATCTTCTGCATTGCACTGCACTCAGCCAGCCAGCATACAGAACAAGATTTGGATTCTGTTCAACACGAATGTGAAGTCAGTCAGTCAGTCACTTCTTCTTTATGGGTCAGAAACGTGACCAGCGTGTCACAAAGGCGATTTCCAACAGCCCGTCGCAGACATTTATCATTAGCTGCCACCTCCTCTGTCTGGTTCTTTTCTGAAGATGAAATGGCCAGCCGGAAGTAACTCTGGCTGGCTGCCTGAGAACAAACCAACAGACGAGAGCTGATTGCTCAACAAATCTGTCGGAGAAAATGGATGCCATTAAATAACATCGCAGTCAATGCAGGCCGTTGATTGAGTTTAGTCCCAATGGGAAGCGACGAGTGGGTCATCGGTGCGAGGATGACATGGAGGAGATCCTGTGAGAAGGAGATGAGAGATTATGGGCGACCGTGTGGCTAGCCAGCTGAAGAGGACGGCAGAAAATAGAACAAAGTGGAGATGTGTTGCTGAAGCCCTATGTTCCACACGGAACCCAAGGTAATAATAATAATAATTCTGCAAAACAAGAATAATAAAGCTTTATTTCAGACAATATGCGAACATATCGTACTAACAGTTTCAGCTTATTTCCTTCCAAGATACTTTTTTTTCATCCAGGATTTACATGTAAAATAATAAATAATCTGAAGTATATCTTCATTTCATTGAAGAATTAATTGCACAGCGTTTACTTGGCAGTTATCTAAATCAGCGCGCAAGTTCGCGTATAGGTCATTTGATATAACTGGATGATTAAAACAATGGTAAATCCAGATGTGAAATTAAGCATTTTAATGGAAAACAATTTCGGTCACCCAGTGATTCAATTAAGCCGCCTAAGTGTTGTCAAATAATCTAAATAGAGAACTGGAGCACATCATTATTTCCTGATCAATAGAAAAATGATACTATTTTACTGTGTACCGCAAATCCGATAAACGTTTATGGTGTTTTAAAAAGATTCCAACTGCGGTGAATCGATAAGATGCTAATCCATTCTAATTAAACTTAAGCAAAATGACGGGTATAAACTACATCTCCGCTAGTATGAAAACTTAATTACAATTAACGCTAGTGTAAATTAGCCTGAGGAATTCATTTATGCTTAGAAAGTATGTAAGCATGAGTATTAATCAGGTTAAGCCTATGGTTAAGGCATGCGTCCAATTAAGTGACTGGCTGACTGATTTTAACGTAGAACTTTGTAACCGATGTGCAGCAGTTCAAGTTGCCACACTCTGTAGCACACAAAGCAAGAGAAGAGAGTAAACAGAGATTTCAAAGACATAATAAATACAGGTGTGAGGTAAAAGAATAGTAATATGGAAGAACAATGTAATTTTATTGCGCCAGCCATTGAGAACGACTTTGAGCCATATCACCAATTGTCTTTAGTCTTCATTGGTTCTTACCATCCCAAGGACCCCGGCCAGCCAAGAAGTCTACACCTCCCAACATGACTGACTCAAACTAAGTGTCAAAGATTTCATGGACTGACTCCACATTTTGGTTTGACCACCACAACTACCTAGCTCTTTTCCAACCTGATTCATCCTATGTCAGCTAATATTGCCCGTCGGTCGAGGAAGGCGATGACTAGGCATACCTACATAACACATGTCCTAACCATCTCAATCGGTGTAACTTCACAGTCTCGTCGATTGATTCCCCCTCCTTACCTAGCACTCGACCGATGGCCAACCACAATATTGCTCACCCTATTATATAACCTAACACGGGATACAGAACGCAGGCACCTATGGTCAAGACAGCTAGCCTTTTCATACCTTATCCCTTCAAACTTATCATCCAAATTATATCACTATTTAACTTTACACCTACTGTAAAGTACTAATTTTACTATTTCATCGCTCGCGCCAATACAGACTTCTAAATACAGATTTACTCAGGCATTAATAAAGGAAGGAAACATCTCAGTCACTATCATGCACACCAGTAGCTTAGGTTTCAATATGTTACTTGATTGATTGATAGTAGTAGTTAGCAGTGGAATTCAGGAGGCGCGTTTCTTTTTTCTTTTTCGCTAACTGGATATACCTGCAGTGGAACAACGGACAAGTTCATAGCAGTTATCCATAAATAATAATAATAACAATAATAATAGTAACGTAACTCATTTTACACAACACATACTTAATGTGCGAAAGATTCTGTAACTCCTCAATGCCAATGTTAACCACAAACCAATTAAACAAGAAATTTTCTTCAGAACAAATACGGTGACCTCTTCAACCATGTCTACTGTTATATAAGCTTCACAGCGTTATCGATGGACTTCCCCTACTTACCTAACACTCGACACACTCCTAACCTGAATATTATTCACCCTATTACATCCACTATGTAACATAGGAGATGGAAAGGACAGGGAACCTTTTCCTGTCTTCCACTTTCACTTCCCATGTCTCACAGCCATAACGGAGGACAGAGAAAGCTGCTGGGCAGTACACACACTCTTTGGTTGACAACCAGACGGATATCACATCTACTAGGCCAGAGATGGCGTAAACTGGTATATGCCAAACGAGCCTTCTACATCTGTGCTGAAACTTCTTCAGCAATCAACCTACTTGCACTGGTTGATGCAACTCCCCAAATAAGTGAGGTGGTCAGCACGCCCTACCACTTCACTCCCTATCTTTAGGTTAAGAGTCAATGTAGTCCAGTCGTGTAGCAGCATCTTACACTTAACAAGAGCAAATCGTATGTCAAACAATCACAGATATCTGTTCAAGGAGTTCCAAAGAGTCTGCATTTTATCAACGTCTCCACCTTGGATGACTATATCATCATCATCATCAATAAGAATACTCCCTGACAACAAGTCAGTCCCTAAGTCGCTGAAATCAGTTAGAGCGAATCCGATTGATACATTTACGATGAAATTAAATGGGAATGGGGACAGTGAACAGTGCACACCTACTACTCACCTCAATTAATCAGTAGTAGTAGTATATAGTTTAAAAGGTTTTTATAAGGCTACTACTACTCCATAGAAAATAATCTTTATTTCAAAATAAAAAAGGAAAGATAGTCAATACACAATTAGTACTGAACAACCTTCTTGAGTACAAAGCACAAATATTTATAATACACATCTAATGATAATAAGAATAATAATAATAGTAATTGGTGTTACCACTCAGAAAAATATAAACAAAACACCTCAAAATAATTACAACACATCTTCGTGTGTGAATATATATATATATGTGAGGGGGGGAGGCAGGGAGAGAAAGTTAGAGTGTAGATAGATGTGGAAGGAGGACAAAAGTGTAACAATATTGATTACACACACTTGGATTTATCCTCCCCAAAATTTCCCGATTAGTTTCCTTTTCGTTCAGTAAGTAAACTACTACTACCGATAATAATAATAATAATAAAACAAAATAAAATTTAGATTGAAAGCTCAATTACAAATGGAAAATATCAACAATAACAACAACAACAAAAAACCAAAATAAATCAATCATATTACAATGAGGCAAATAAGGTACTATTATTAATACAATATTAGCAGTAGTATTAATAGTAATAATAATAATAATAAACACACAGGGAGTTCATGTCACCGCAGTCAATAATGATTTGTATACAATTTACCATTGATAATTGAAAGTACATTGAAAACAAACAAATGAAGAAATTATTGTAAGGTATATTTATATTATATATATGTATATATATAGAAGTAGATACATCCTCTTATTTAAATTCCCCTCTTTATGAAATAACAAATTGTATTTCCCATCATAGAAAGCCAGGTAGTGTATTGTCTGTTCAATGGTGTTCAATATATATATATTTATCCTTGTTCAAGTTGTGTGTTCAATCGTCCAATAGTTCATTTTTTTCATACATATGTATAAAATTGACAAAAACATCTTCAAGTGTAGACTGTCTAATAGAAATATAATTGATTAAATTCTTCTGATTTAATTCTGCTAATGCATTGAACAACTTCCATAAGGGTTGATTTTTACAAACATTATACTGTTGTCTAGCTAACAAAGGATAACGTAGCTGGAAACCTGGTAAATAATGATTTAATAGAGCGTGTAATTCATTAATATTATTAAATTGTGTTAGTACATTTTGAGTAAATTCAATATCCACTTGATAGCCTAAACCATAACGTGTTTTCAATTCCAATGGTGTACCAGTACATCGAATTTGTCCATTGACCAGTAGACCAATACGATTACACAATAGTTCACATTCTTCCATACAATGTGAACTTAATAGGACAGCACAATTCAGCTGTAAAGCATGTTGTACATTTTTCCATAGTAGATATTTTGCTTGTGGATCCATACCAGTGGATGGTTCATCTAACAGGATAATATTTGGATTACCGATAAATGCAATCCCAGTAGACAGTTTGCGTTTATTACCACCGGATAGTGTTGTAATCAATCGATCAGTAAAATCTTGTAAACCAGTCAATCGGATCATTTTATTAACAATATGCTTATGATTGACATTCTCTCCCGGGGAATTATCACATCTTAGATAACTGTAAAATGTCAGCATTTCACGTACAGTCATAAATTCGCATAAAGCATCTTGTTGTGGACAATAGCCAATACTTTGACAGGCTTTATTATACTCTAATTCTATATCATAACCATTTAAGTAAACATGTCCACGTGTTAGTGTACAGTGTCCAGTTAACATTGAATAAGTAGTTGACTTGCCAGCACCATTTACACCCAGTAGACCGTAACATTCACCTGGTCGTACAGTTAAACTTAAACGCTCCACTGTAGGCTTTTTCTGTGACCAATAATGTTTAACAATTGATTCAGCATTAATTGCATATGGACAGTCAGAAGAGGAATTCTGCATCGTTTTCTGTTATGGAAAAATACAGATAATAAAAAAAAGGATTTGAAAATAGAATTCAGTAAAGACATATACATACGCAAATAACCAACATTATTGATATAAAAGGACCATTTGCGAAGCAAGAGCATGTTAGCCGACCACGCCTCATGTGGTCCAGGGTCCTACTGCCAATTGAGGCAATCTTAAACCTCGGTAAGCCAGTGGTAAGGCTGATTAACTCCAACTCGTTAAAATAAGAAAACCACCACTACCGAAACTTCAAGGTTCTAGCTTGAAGGCGTATGTTCCGTTTCTAACGTAAAGGAATGAAATAAGTAGTAAATAAATCAATAAATTGGCAAAGCTAAACTATTATAACTAAAATCACAGTGACTTTGAGCAACCAATCAGGACTCAGATGTGAAAAAAACGGCTTAATTGTTAAATAATATGTATCAAAAACGTCACAAATACAATATTAAAATGCATAATGGTCTTTATTACATTGTAGAAATGTCTTCCGATTTCTTCAAAGATAATCCACAGAGAAATCATCATATATTCATCGCGGTAACCATGGTACTTGGGAATTCACTGATATTCCTGATTCTTATATCCAACTCCCCCCCCCCCCAAATTCCTTCCATAGAATTATTGTGGGTGCCTGTGATTCAATCTACACGATGGTGAATGTAACCTAAAGATGACAACTGGTTATATCCCCTCCTTTCGTCAGTGAGTATATTCCTTCCTCGAATTACGAAACGCTGGATAATTCCAATTAATACTCTGGCGCTTCTATCTGTCTGTCTGTTTTCCACAGAGAACACATATGTGCGGCAGTTCAAGTCGCCACACTCCATGTAGCACACAAAGCAAGAGAAGAAAGTAGAAGAAATGCCCAATATAGACAGTAAACAGAGGTGTGAGACAAAAGAATAGGAATAACGGAGAGCAAAACAGTTTCATTGGAAATCACAAGTCACAAGGAGTGAATGCATCTGCGCCAGCCATTGAGAACAATTTTGAGCCATGTCACCAATTGTTTCCAACCATTGGTTTTTACCGTCCCAAGGACCCCAGTCAGCCACGAAGTCTACACCTTCCTGCGTGGCTTAGACTAACTGTTGTAGATTTCATTGACTGGTGAAGCCATGTTTTGGTTTGACCGCCGCTAGCTCTTTTCCAGTCTGACCCTATATCAGATAACATTGCCCGTTATCGAGGGAGGCAATGACTAGGCATACGTAACACATGTCCTAACCATCTCAGTCGATGGAACTTCACAGTTTCGTCTATTGATTTCCCCGCCTTACCTAGAACTCGACGCCTAACCTCAATATTGCTCACCTTATTATTCCACTTCACGCGGGAGATAGGACGCAGACACCTATGACCAAAGACAGCTAATCTTTTCATGTCTTCTGCTCTCAATGGCCAGGTTTCATGGCCATAAAGGAGGACGGGGCGGACTGTTGAGCAGTACACACGCCCTTTGGTCGATAGTCGGATATCGCGTCTATGCCAGAGACGGCGTAATTTGGCATATGTGAAACTAGCCCTCTGTATTCGTGCTGAGATTTCGTCAGAGATCAACCCGTTGGGGCTGGTGGTACTTCCCAAGTAAGTGAAGCGGTCAACGTGCTCTACCACTTCCTTTCCTATTTCTAATCTAGGGGTCGGTGTAGTCCAATCCTGTAACATCATCCTGCATTTGGCGGGAGCAAATCGCATGCCAAACGTTCGTAGATTGCAGCTCAAGGTGTTCAGAAGACTGTGCATTTTGTCAGCGTTCTCGCCTAGAAGGACTATATCGTCTGCATATTCTACGTCAACGAGATTACTCCCTTGTAGCAAGTCAATCCCTGAGTCGCTGAAGTGAGTTAGGGTTAAGTCCATTAGTACATCTATGATGAAGTTGAATAAGAATGGGGATAATGGGCATCCTTGACGGACGCCACTAGTCGTCACCACTTCAGATGACAACTCGCCATAAGCCCTCACCTGGCTGCGTGAGTACGAGTAGAGTGCCTTAATCAGTGCAATGTATTTTCTCGGCATTCCCTTTATAGCCTAGCATCGCCATAGTACCTCTCGGTCGACAGAATCGAATGGCGCTTCTATAGGGTAGTGTTTCCGCAAAACCTTTGCATACTGAGGTGTCGTATATTCCAAGAACACACACAACTGATTAACCCCTTTTGTTGCTTTATTGTACTTCTACTTTATGAGGACAGTTTCATCAATACGAACCAGCACTCCCACACCTCCAAGGCAGGCAGTAGTCCTCTCTGAATTCCCTGATGCCATGTCTCTACAACAGTAAAAAATAGACACCACAGCCAAATGACCTTGAACCAACCAATCAGATCGCTCATCATTACGAATGGATGCTTTTCATAATCTTCGTTGTATGTTTCGTTCTGACCCTGATCTTCGTCACAAGCTCCACCATAAACTTAATCATAAGCCTACCTTAATCCTACCCTAACCTTAACCCCGAATCAGGATGAAAATTACCGTATTACCGGCCAAACGAAGTTTAGAAGTGCGTCGGCCGGGAATCGAAACCCAGAAAACATGAGGCATGGTTGGCGAGCATTCTACCGATGAATCAACGGTGCTAAAAGACTTTTTAACTAAGATAATGTTTATTTCTCATCAGTATGATTTGCACTACAGTTAAAGGTATATTCCCAAAAGTCTAGAAGAAAAGAATGCAAACGTGAACACAAATTATGTAAGGCAGTGAATGCATTGTTTACATCGTACCTAATGAATACTTTGAGTGATTACAGTTCATAGATGATATGCCTTTTCATACATTCACAATAACTGAAGTCACAGATAGATGTTTGTATTCTTTCCCCCGTAATATGCTGTTAGGCATAGAGTACTAGGTAATAAGGGAAAAGTCGATCAATAAGGTTGTGAAGCTACACACCGATTAAGATAGTAGAGATATGTGCGACGCATGCGAAGCTATTGCATTGTTCATTGAGCGATATAAGCTTAAATATGATTGGATCGAAAAGGAGTTCCGTGATAGCAAAACCGAAATCTGGCACCAATACATGAAGTCTTTGACGATTGCTTTAGGACACAAAGGGAGGTTGGGACTGCCTTGCTAGGGTCCTCGAGATGCAAAGAATCGAAGGGCTCGAAACTATTGGTGATATATATATATATATATATATATATATATATGAACAATTATCGACAATTACAAACTAAACACCATGTTTAATGGACAGATAGCTTTCAACGCCTTTGTAAAAGATTAAACCGGACAGGGACAATTGTGACTATACACATACATATAAAAAGAGAAATCTTGTCCAAGAATTGGAAAATTGACGAATTAGAATCATGAATGCTCACTGAGAAATAATGAGTGAGGATAATAAAGTACAATTCATAACCATAAAAATGCAAAAGAAGAAAATAAAGCACTACCGATTATTCTCAAACTAGGATGAAACAGCAACTGTCCAGTACTCCCTGGTTTTCAATGGTTCACTAACTGATATCAATCTGTGATCAACTCGTAAAAACATAACTAACCCTTACAAACCAAAACTATAGAACATATTTTCTTCTAAAGTGTAATCACGGTCTGAAATCACTTGGGGGACGACTGAATTACCAGGGAGTACTGGAGAGATGTTTTGTCATAGTTTCGTAGTCTACAACCGTACCCACCCATGATCGAAGCAAGTATCTTCGGGTTACGAGGAGAGCTTCCTGACCCACCAGTTGGTGGGACGGAACCAAAAGGCCCATGAAATCTAACTTCTGTCAAATTGCCGTCCCTGGTAGGATCATGGGTGTGTAATGCTGAAGAGTCCTAGACTCCCTGCTTTTCAGTATAGAAGCTAAATATCAACAATCTGCTGTAAGAGCAACAGTCTTTAGCTTAAACCAGACAACAAAAAAGAAATAAAGTTAAAGTTAGAAAAAGCAGTAAGTAATGAGTCGAGTGACTTTTGCATTATTCACAGTCTGATAAGACGTCTTTCATTATTATTTTATTCAAGTACTGGTTTTGTAGGGATTTTGTTTGATTGCATGGAGGATTTCATCATTATTATTCACTATTTTATTCATCTGAGCTCTGAGTGGAACATAGGGATGAATGCTTGAGGATTTGATGTTTCAGTAGGAGTGGTCTATTATTTTACGAGATGACGTCGGTAACCTTATACGCAACCTTCCCACTTTAACGAGCTTACTAACGGTTAAGTGAGGTAGAGAGAAGTGCGTCGGCCGGGGATTGAACCGCGAACCATATGAGGCCTGTTTGGCGACCATTCTGTCGCCAGTCAATGAAATCTACAACAGTTAGTTTAAACCAGTCACGTAGGAAGATGTAGATTTCCTGGTTGGGGTCCTCGCGATGGTAAAAACCAATGGCTGGAGACAATCGGTGATATGGCTCAAAATCATTCTCAAATACTGTCACAGATGCATCCACTCCTTGTGACTTATAATTTCCAATGAAACCATATCATCTTTCGTTATTACTATTCCTTTTGTCTCATATCTCTGTCAATTGTTTCTATTTTGCATTTCTTCTACTTTCTTCTCTTGCTTTGAGTGCTACATGGAGTGTGGTGACTTGAACTGCTGCACATCGATGCAAAGTTCTATGTTGAAAGCAGACAGACAAACATTCTGTCGCCGAACCACCAACTTACAGAAATGGCCAACATAACCAGAATATATATATACATATATATTCATGGGAAATAAGATTTGACTAAAGCAATGTTAGCTTATTTTGTGTGTTATAATATCTATCATATGATATGACAAGTATGTGCAGTAAAAAAAAGCACTACACTTCAAGGTCGATACAGATAGATGTCTCTACATCAAATGAGACCGGAACAACCCTGATATGTGTATTCGCAAAAATAGAATCACATTTCAAAATTGATTCATTAGAACGTAGCATAAAAAAACAACAACAACAGGACAATCGAATCACAAAAAGAGAAAATTTTTGGAATAGCTCTACAAGTCAT